ATGGAAATTCAAAAAATTGACAGCAGCTATTATCCTGAGGTATGTAAAGCATCAAGGTTTTTCTGCTTCTTCCTTTTTTGAACAAAAATTATTTCTCTATTTAAATGATATACATGTAACCTTGTAAAAAGTTAGATCAAGTGTTCTACATGATAAGGTCCTAGATTCAAGTTTCGCATCCATCCATTTAAATATATTTAGGAGTTAAGCTTCGAGGGAAAAAATGAATTACTCTTATATAGGAGGGGCGTGTTGAAGATAATATTTAAATGATATACACGTGGTCTTATTTAAAAGCTTAAGCATTTAGATCAAATGGTTCTACAAAAAATTCCCCTCGATATAAATAACTATCACAATAAGAAGTTGCCACGCATTTTTCCAGGAGTGAATTGGATTATAGTACAGATGCTAGGTATTAAACTTATATTTCTTCTCTTAATTTCGATGAGTAGTAGTCATGATTAAAGTTATTATCTGTTGGTCTAATCCAATATTTACAGATCAGTATTGCTCTAATCTAATATTTACATATCAAAATGCAATTATGTTCATAAAACTAAAATTTGTTCATGACTATTGGAGAAAATAGTATTTTTGTGCTAACTATTTCTTGTCTACTTCACAATAAAAGCTATAATTTTTTGTTTATTTTTATTAGGATTTTTAGTTTCATGATTATTCTAGTTGAATACTTTTGATTATTATATCTGCAGACACTTCATCAGCTTTTTATTATTAATGCTGGATCTGCATTCAGAGTCCTTTGGAAAGCAATTAGGGCTTTTCTTGATCCACGTACATTGGCAAAAATACAAGTAAACTATATTTTCCACTGTTCTTTCTTCCCATTCGTTTTTCTTTTACTTTTCTTGTAGGCTGTAGCCCTCTCCACTCTCTACATCTCTCTACAGTCCACCACTCCGTGTCCTAGAATGGATGTTACTGAAGTGGATTTGATTAAACTTCCATCGGAAATATTGCAGGTGCTGGGAACTGACTACACAACTAGCCTAATCGAAGTTATTGATCCAAGGTAACACATTTTGTATGTCTGATGCATATATTTTTGGGGAAAAAAGATAAATTTTTTCTAATTATATGTGGCTTCTTACACTTGCAGTAACCTTCCAACTTTCTTGGGTGGCAACTGCTCTTGTGCTGAATATGGCGGTTGTCTGTTTAGTGAAAAAGGACCTTGGAATGATCCTCAAATAAAACAAATGCTTCAGGTTTTTATTCATAGCCGTCATAGTTCTTAGCACAATACACTTGAGAGAAGCTTTATATATCCATGTTCTTTCGCATGGTATTCAGATATATTTTCGTAATTGTTTATTTTAGGGAATGTTACAAACAGAAGAGGATAATGAAGGTGAATTGATGAATTCTCAGTCCTCACAAGATTCTAGTGATGGTGATCCTGTAAGCAAGTCATATGCTGAAAATCTCTAGACAAACAAAATGAAATGCATGGATCGCTCTAAAAAATGCGTCCCAAACATTGCTTCATGTTTATCAGCATTGCACATTGTTATGAGTTTTGAGCATTCATTGTCGAACACTATTTTTCCCTATGCGATATTTAAATTTTCCAGTAAATTCATACTATTGAAGCCTGGATATGGTAAATGCAGGAAAATGTTCGAATTAAAATTGTATACGATGTAATTTCACTTACAGACGAGACAAAATATAATGATCAGCCTTTGTTACATAAACTCCAAGAATTCGAACCTGTGCTTGAAGATACGAAAGCAGTGAGTTGCGGTTTTGTTCATTATTCTTTTCCTCGAACAGATTAAATGCAAAAAAGGGTAAATCTTCATTTTTTTTTCGATCTTCAGAAAATCAGGTCCCTGGAAGTTGCATTGGCAGATACCAAGTCGGTGAGTGTTTTCTAGATTCTTTATGCTTCTAAATGTCAATATGAAGTAATGTGTCGTTATTGTTTTCCCCTAACAGGTCTTACAAGGACTTTCTCAACATATAGAAGAGCTGAAACGTTGAGTTCAATGATCAAATACGAATTGCCTAATCAACAAACAGATTTATCGTTTCTTCGAATCATAATGGTTATGATGTTTATTACAGAATAGCTAACTTTAATTCTAAGACTAAGTTTGAAATATATTCTCTTATACATTGAAAGTACATAAATTTGTTGGCAATAGCATAGATCCTCTTATAAGCTTTCTCTCATCCTTTGTTATTAAGCTATACAGAAAGAGTATTAAACCAAAGAAAGAGACAATCTGTTTCGACTACTATTCATTGTGAAAAGAGTTTTTCTTAAGACAAATTTGTGTGTCTCTGTGGTTGGTTGTGGACAAACATATGCACCATTTCTACATCTATAAATAGAACCCTATAGACATGATTTTGGATACACCAATTGCATTGAGCATTCATTCTTCTCTTGCAATTCTCTTCTTTCTAATTCTATAGCATTTTATATATTTCCTTTGTAGAGGGGAAGTTTTGTCAAAAGTTCATCGGTTTCCCGTGGTCTGAAGTGCTGGTGAATCCATTGTATCTTGAGAGACAAGTTCCATTCACCGTGAGCACCGTAGTGGGGCAATTTGTCTTAAGGAAAGAGATAACATCTCGCCTTAGATTAGTCTCTATTTCTACTCCTTCTTAATACTTGTTTTGCGTAATCTTTATACCGAAACACTGTCCAAATTATCAATCATATAAATTGTATTTTGATCACGCTCTTGCGGGTTAAAACGGGTCAAACAAATATATAAAAAACCAACCCTTACATAACCCTTTTTATAAGTCATTTCCAACAATCTTAAGACAAATTTGTGTATGGTTGGTTGTGGACAAACATTACATTGTTTGAATAGTACTTTGTGTACTATTTCTCCACCGATATTATCATCATTTTGTTGAACTTCTATTTGTGTAACAGAAATGATTACCATCGAGACCTCGTCAAGTCAAAATGGTTCCAATAATGTGGTACCACCCGTGACCATATCATTGCATAATACTACTATCCCACATGGAGAAAAGTCGAAAAAATTTGCAGGAGTAGACTTCAAGAGGTGGCAACAAAAGATATTGTTTTATCTCACCACTCTTAATTTGGCTAATTTTCTAAATGAAACTGCACCGGCTGTACAAGAAGGGGAAAATAATCGTGAATTGATTATTGCTTTGGATGCATGGAAATACTCGGACTTCCTATACAAGAACTATATCCTAAACGCATTGGATAATACACTATATAGGGTGTATAGTTTAAAGAAATCAGCCAAGGACCTATGGGATTCTTTGGAGACAAAGTACAAGACCGAGGATGCCAGAACAAAGAAGTTCATTGTTGACAAATTTTTGGACTACAAGATGGTGGATTCCAAAACCGTAATTAGTCAAGTGCAAGAGATTCAAGTCTTGTTACACGACATCCATGCCGAGAAAATGGAATTGAATGAATCATTTCAAGTGGCTGCCATTATTGAGAAACTCTCTCTTATGTGGAGAGATTTCAAAAATTACCTCAAGCACAAACGCAAGGAAATGAATTTGGAAGAATTGATTGTGCACTTGAGGATTGAAGAGGACAATCGAAAAACCTAACGGAGGCCGGTTGATCAAGATAGTGCAAATTTTGTTGAAATGGAACCAAATGCAACAAACAAGAAACGAAAGGCTCCTAATTATGCACCGCGAAGAGACAATTCCAAGAAGGCTAAGAAGTTCAAAGGGAATTGTTACAATTGTGGTAAGGCTGGACATCGTTCAAGTGAATGTCGAAAGCCAAAGAAGAATGCTCAAGCCCACATGGTTGCAAATAATACTCTATCCGATGGACTGCAAGAAATGAGTTTATCTGCAGTAGTATTCGAATGCAACATGATTGAAAATACTAGAGAATGGTGAATTGACACCGGCGCTACTCGCCATGTGTGTGCGGACAAGGGAATGTTCTCCAACTATCAAGACTTGAATGGGAAACAACTATACATAGGAAATTCTGCAAGTTCCAAAGTTGAAGGACAAGGCAAAGTCACTTTGAAGATGATATCCGGGAAAGAACTCATCCTCAACAATGTCCTACATGTGCAGGATATAAGAAAGAATTTAGTGTCCAGGTCTCTACTTAGCAAGAATGATTTTAAACTAGTATTTGTATCAGATAAATTTGTGTTGTCTAAAAATGAGATGTATGTAGGGAAAGGATACATGTGTGATGGAATATTCAAGTTGAACGTTCTTACAATTGTCCCGAAACAAGTCGTTATGAATAAAACTATAAATTTCGTTTACTTGTTTGAGCCTTAATGTCTGTGGCATAGTCAATTAGGACATGTGAATAACAAATCGTTGCGCAAACTAATGAATCAAAGTTTAATTCCGACGCATAAAATCAATCTTAATCATAAATGTGAAACATGTGTTGAAGCAAAATTGGCTAAAACACCGTTCCATTCAATACAAAAGAACACAACCCCTCTTGAATTGATCCATGACAATATATGTGATCTAAAATTTGTACAAACTCGAGGTGGTAAGAAATATTTTGTGACATTTATTGATGATTATACAAAGTTTTGCTATGTATTTCTTTTGAGAAGTAAAGACGAAGTCGTAGATGCATTCAAAACCTATAAGGCTGAAGTTGAAATACAACTTGAAAAACGAATAAAAAATATTCGTAGTGATAGAGGAAGTGAATATGGGGCACCGTTTGAAGACTTTTGTTCTGAACATGGAATTGCTCATTAAACAACGGCACCTTACTCTCCTTAATCAAATGGTGTTGCAGAATGCAAAAATCAATCACTTAAAGAAATGATGAATGCCATGTTAATAAGTTCGAGTTTACCACAGAACATGTGGGGGGAGCCTATTTTAACGGCAAATAGTCTTCTTAATAAAATACATCTTAAGAAAATGGAAGAGACACCATATGAACTATGGAAAGGCTATCCTCCATCCTACCAATACTTGAAAGTGTGGGGGTGTTTGGCTAAGGTTGAGGTACCTAAGCCTAAACAAGTGAAAATCGATCATAAAACGATAGATTGCATATTTATTGGATACGCGCAATAATAATAGTGCATATTGATTTCTTGTACACAAATTCGAAATACAAGGCATACATGAAGGGACCATAAATGAATCAAGGAATGCGATATTCTTTGAAAATATTTTTCCTTGCAAAAATAAGGAAAATACGAGTTCTAACAAGAGAACATATGAAGCTATCAATGGAATTTCAAATGAGGAAGAACCAAGATGTAGTAAAAGGGCTAGGACTTCCAAAACATTTGGCCCAAATTTTCTAACTTATATGGTAGAGGATGATCCAAAGACTTTCGATGAAGCAATGTCTACATCGGAAACACTGCATTGGAAAGAAGCTATTAATAATGAGATAAATTCTATAATGCAAAACTATACATGAGAGTTGGTTGATTTACCTCTTGGTAACAAGCCTTTAGAATGCAAATGGATATTCAAAAAGAAATTAAAAACTAACGGATCCATTGATAAATATAAGGCTAGATTGGTTGCTAAAAGATATAGGCAAAAGGAAGGACTTGATTTCTTTGATACCTACTTACCCGTGACTAGAATCATGTCGATAAGGTTGGTAATTGCAATTGTGGCAATACACAATCTTGAGATTCATCAAATGGATATAAAAACAGCATTCCTAAACGGTGAGTTAAAAGAGGAGATTTACATGGAGCAACTTGAAGGGTTCGTTTCTCCTAACCAAAAATACAAAGTGTGTAAACTTGTTAAGTCCTTGTATGGATTAAAATAGGCTCTTAAACAATGACACCAAAAGTTTGACAAAACAATGTTGTCAAATGGATTTAAGATAAACGAATGTGACAAATGTGTATGTATTAAACATACACAATATGCCTATGTAATTATTTGTTTATATGTGGATGACATGTTAATAATAGGCAATAGTCACGAAATGTTGCTTAACACCAAAAAGATGCTAACAAAGCATTTCGATATAAAAGATATAGGTGTGATAGATGTAATCCTAGGGATCAAAATCTCTAGAAGGCAGGATGAAATTGTACATTCACAATCTCACTACATAGAAAAAGTACTTAAAAAGTTTGACGTGTTTGAGGAAAGTCCTGCAAGAACTTTTCTTGATCCGAGTATGCACTTAGTCAAGAATACGGGAGAAAGCATATCACAGCTAAGGTATTCACAAATAATTGACAGTCTTATGTATATTACAAACTGCACTCAATCGGATATTACTTTTGCAATGAATAAACTTAGTGAATTTACAAGTAATCCAAACCGTGATCATTGGAAGGTTTTGACGAGAGTTTTAAGGTACTTGAAGTATACCTTAACCTATGGATTACACTTCACAAAATATCCTGCGGTGCTAGAAGAATATTGTGATGCAAATTGGATATCCGATATGAAGGATTCCAAGTCCACTAGTGGTTATGTATTCACCATTGGTGGAGCTGCTGTATCATGGAAATCAACAAAGTAAACGTGCATAACTCGATCAACGATGGAATCTGAGTTTATTGCTTTGGACAAAGCTGGAGAAGAAGCAGAATGGTTTCGAAATTTCTTAGAAGATATTCCATGTTGGCCCAAGCCAATACATGCGATAAGTATACATTGTGATAGTCAATCAGCAATTGAAAGGGCTCGAAGCAGCATGTATAATGGTAAGTTTAGACATATTCGTCGTAGACACAACAACATTAACTAACTGATCTCCAATGGCGTTATCTCCATAGATTATGTGAAATCAAAGGAGAATATTGCGGATCCACTAACGAAAAGTTTCCCTAGAGATCAAATGTGTTGCCTATCGAGAGAAATGGTATTAAAACCTACTACATAAGAGTTTTTACAATGGTAACCCTACCTTGTTGGCTGGAGATCCCAAGATCTTGGTTCAAAGGAACAACTAAGTTGTGAAAATTCCATGAAGCACTTAGGAAATTAGAATTCCTTTCTGCAGAGTAAATAAAGGCTAAGATTATCTTTTAATGATTCCTATATCTTGATTAAGTTAAGTGGAGTAGGGCAGAATACTCTTAATAGGAGGTCACCTATGTAAGTGTGAAGTGGGGCTGCTTCGATAAGAATTGTTTAAGGTTTGAATTCTTTAAACACTTATAAAACCAAGAAGGGTTCAAGGCCAAAATGAACCAAGTTATGAGAACTAAGTACAGAATAGGGAAGATATCTGTGTGATTACTGTTGTCTTGACTTACACCAAAGGCTGAGTGGTTCAAGACCTATGGTTCACCAATTAGCCGAGTAAGTCCGATAGTATTTCACTAAGGGAGGTTCAAGGCTAGAAGTCACCATCCCTGATGCAGTATTTTTTCGCAACGTCTCTACATTGCATCATATTATCGCATTTGCATATACGTACCCGAATTTCCATTCATGTGAGGGATTGTAGGAATTGGTTCAAATATTAAATGAAAATGTGTGTAAAAAATTGGAAAATGGAAAGTTGTGTAAAAATGAAAAATGAAAAGGTATGACTACGTGTCAACTTCGACCAAATATTCGGATTTGATTCGATGGTCAAATTATAAAAGTAAATAGACCAACTTATTCTAATCGTCGAGTAGATCATCGTGGTATATTTGAAATCTCGAAATCAATTCTGGATGAATGAGAAATTGCGGACCAAAGTTGAAAGAAATGAAGTGTTGCAACTTTTCGAAAGGTGCAGATTTTGGCCAAGTGTTGCAAATTTTTTTTAAAAGATGCATGTTTTGGCCCACACTACTTCATTTGCACCCTTTCTACATCTATAAATAGAACCATATGGACATGATTTTGGGTACACCAATTGCATTGAGCATTCATTCTTCTCTTACAATTCTCTTCTTTCTAATTCTATAGCATTTCATACATTTCCTTTATAGAGGGAAAGTTTTGTCAAAAGTTCGTCAGTTTCTTGTGGTTTGAAGTGCTGTTTCCACAAGTTGTGAATCCATTATATCTTAGGAGACAAGTGTCATTCACCGTGAGCACCGTAGTGGGGCAATTTGTTTTAAGGAAAGAGATAACATCTCGCCTTAGATTATTCTCTATTTCTACTCCTTTTTAATACTTGTTTTGCATAATCTTTATATCGAAATTCTGTCCAAATTATCAATCATATAAATTGCGTTTTGATCACGCTCTTACGGGTTAAAACTGGTCAAACAAATATATAAAAAACCAACCTTTACATAACTCTTTTTATAAGTCGTCTCTAACAGTTTTAAACCTCGGGAAATTATAGATCTTCAGAATAAAATGCGACGTTTAGCTAAAAAAGTCACTCCATTTATTTCATCATTAATAAACAGTTTGATGCAACCTAAAATTAGATTTAGTTAATTATTTTAGTATTTTTTGTTACTCTTTATTAATCATTGTAGTTTGGGATAGGTAAGTCTATTTGTTTTGTTTAGGATTTCCCTCCATTTGTTTCTATTTAAGCTTTATAAGGCTATAGTCTTTTCTTTTTTTAATTAAAAATTCATGAAACGTAAGTATTCTTTCAATTTTCAATCTTTTTTTTTTTTTAATATTTTGGAGAATCAACATAATTAGATTTTGCTAGACCCATTCAACTTGACATGACAAAGGTAACTAGTTAGATTTGAGCCGCGAGTTCTCATTCATAACTCTTTTCAAATTTAACTTCTTCCAAATAAAAGGGCACAAGGTTTTATACTGCAATTCTATTTATTTCAATTTTTACATTGCATTACAGTAAAAAGTAGTGTCAGAGCTAAAACATGAGGCCAACTAGAAGGAATAGATCACCATAACGACTAATAGTCTACGTGAAGGTTTTAACAATCATAACTACACCAAATATATCAATCAGGCTAACGAAGTGACGGATTGTATAATATTATTTAACTTTGGTGGCAAAATGAGTAACAAAAATACTTTAACTACCAATTTGAAATTTTACTTTGCTCTTGTTTCACAATCATTATAATAAGAAATTTGGGTAAAATGTATTTTGATATAGTAATTTTTGAGAAAATATGTGGTTAAAAAAGAAAGAATTTTTTTTAATATACTGATAATATCATTTTATTAAAAAATGTATGATTAAAAGAAGAGAGAAAAAAAATGTATCAAAAATTTAATTGAACAAAAGGAAGGCTCATCCTTATCGTGTGCTCCAATGATCGGGTGGATTTATAAATTACAACATTGGACGTCACGAAATTCAAACATGCATAAATATTTTTCGCACTCCATGGAGAAGGATAAAAATAGGAACAAATTACAAACTTTTGAAAATAGAAATAAAAAACCTAGCTTCGATTTATCCGTTTTGTGTATTTAAAATCAACTTACATTTCCCTCCCCATTCAGATAATTCCGGATCACCCCCAAAATTTTTCACCAAAAAATTCAATACCTATTCCTCAAAGATGATAAAACTGCATTTTGTTTCATTCATTTCTATACAGTTTTTGTTTTTATAATTTCTCGTTTAATTATTCCTAAATGAGTACCAGAGAGCTTCTCAGCATTGAACCTGTAGAACTCAAATTCGCTTGTGGGTTCTTCTGCTCAAATCCCATTTTTTATTTCTCCATTTTTTTTTTAAATTGGGTTTGTTGATTTTTCCTATTTTTGATTTATGTTTGTACTTATCTTGATGTAATTAGTTGAGCTGAAGAAGCAGATCTCATGTTCTCTCCAGGTATCGAATAAGACCGAAAATCATGTAGCTTTCAAGGTAATTTTTTTGGGTTTTGTATTCATCAATCTATTTCTTTCTTTTTGTGACATAGTTGTATTTAATTTTCTCCGATTGATTGAATTTCTGTTTATCAGATGAAGACAACGAATCCTAAGAAATATTGCGTACGACCCAACTCTGGGATTGTTTTGCCTCGATCAACATGTGATATCATCGGTAGTTTATCTGATCATTTACATTTAAGTGAATCAGGGAAGTTTTTTATGGGAACTAGATTTTATAGGAATTCTATTTCATATTTATGTAGTTTTAGAAAGAATATGTTGTTTATATTAATCCCCTGTAGGGGTTAGATAAAATTCAGATTTTTAGAAAATTTTGATGAAAATGTTGATGAAATGTGTGGTTGGAAAGCTGATAAAAATTGTTTATCGCGTAAAATGTGTGGTTAAAATTGAGTTTGATGAAAATCGAGTTTTAGAAAATGTGGGCAAACGGGCTAAGTAATATTGAACACATCGGAATAATTTTTCTAAATATTTGGAGATTTTTTGGATCTTCAAAAATAAAAGCTGTCTGCTAGATTTTGAAAAATCAACTGTCGCTCCAATTGCAGACATAGACCGTGTTTGGGAAAAAGGTTAGGACCTATTTGGCATGGATTTTGAGAAATTAAAAGGGTCTTTTGTGACCTAAAAGATGCTTTTAGCCTATGTGGTTAATTTGTACAAGTGTTTTTTTTTTTGAGTTAGAAGAGATTTTATAGGAAGTTGATCCAATATGACTTCTTTTAAAAGCTCCTCCGAAAGAGTTGCTCTAAAAGTTCTTCTTGAAGAGAAAGCTCTTTAGCAATTAGTTTCCAAACACCAATTTGCTATCTTATAAGCTAGGAACCTACGAATTATGAAGGGAAACCGGACTTTGATTGCTGTATGCTTGCTTAACCCTTCAACTGCAACTCAATACTAGCCAAATGTGATTTTCATATCATTTCCTCTCTTTTGCAGAACATAATTCTTTTAAGTGTAACACTTTCATATCTTTCGTGATGTTATTTTATTTTATTATTATTTTTTTTTTCAGTTCTTACAAATGATGATAGAGATTGAGAAATTTATTCTTATATAACCCCTTTGCTTCCAATTTTGTAACAAAGTCTATGATTTGTTTGATGATATTTTTATAAATTTGTTCTTCATTATGTTTTCTTCGTAACATAAAACTCTGTGTCTTGTAGTAACGATGCAAGCACAGAAGGAGGCTCCTTCTGACTTGCAATGCAAGGACAAGTTTTTGCTTCAGAGTGTAGTTGCAAGTCCTGGTACAACACTGAAAGACATTACTCCAGAAATGGTACTCTTCTGATCAACTATTGATTCATTTTTGTCTTCGTTTGTCCAGACCAGATTACCAATTTTACCATTAGATCACCGGTGAAGTCCTGATTGACTGGGTAACATTCTGAAACAATTGGATTAGCAAATGATGTTGCACATTATTTTTACGAAGAATAATTTTCTTCTGTTGCAGTTTACTAAGGAGGAAGGGCGTGTTGTTGAAGAGTGCAAGTTGAGAGTGCTTTATGTTTCCCCACCTCGACCACCATCTCCAGTGGCAGAGGGATCAGATGAGGGTTCTTCACCAAAGACGACTGCTATGGAGAATGGCAATCTTAATGGCAGTGAGGTTGATATCATAGTTAATGGACTTCTTTACATTAAACAAGTCATCATGATTCTTGCATGCATGACACATACTCTGGTCATTTGTAGCTCAGTTTTTGATTTGTGCTGCAGGTTACTGGAATGTTTGTTGATAGTCATGAAAATTCACCAGAGGTAAGCTTCTCTCCCCTACCATACATTCTTAAGCCCCCGTTTGACCGCCATTAATTTCATTTTTCTCTCTCTTATTTTCAACCACACAATCTTTTGTAAAATAATATTACATGTAAATCGAAAACTTTTCCTTCTTTTTCAACCACTTATTTTTCAAAAAAACATTATTTCACCCATTTTCATTATCACAAAATGGGGGCCAAATGGGGGCTAAATGTACAAATTTAAATATCCCAATTTTTGGATTTGTTTGCTTTGTTTTGGGGAGCTTGTTATGTATCCATTTTTGATCTTTAATGCTTGTGTCAAATGGAAATACGAAATGGCTCATAGCAGTAATATTTCTTCCATTGTTATGAATTATGCGCACTTCAAAGTATACAAAGTGACCATGAAAAAAGGTTGTGGATGGAAATTCAAGAGGTGAGAATTGGAGATATCTTATACTAGGATTTGTTTATTCTCTAGATCCTTTTTTCTGTATGAAGAAACCTGTTTTTGGAAACTAAATTCTAAAACATACATTGGCATGGAGGGGAGAGCATCAACAACAGTACTTCATGGTATTGATTTGATCTTTGCACCATTTGGATTTACTTCCAATGGTTTTAATCGCCATTCAAAAAGTCGCATTAGTCAAACATATTTTTTATCCACACATTTCTTACAACTCCAACTTACTAATTCATCCATGAATTTCGTAGGACCTACAACTTACTATTCACTTATTACCCATACATTCTACAGGACTTGTTACTTATAAGCACTTAAAGGAACTACCAAACAAGCACTTCTTGTAGTTCAAAACGTGTACTTCTAATAAATCACGATGGATAGACTACTAATCTAATCGGATAGAGGACCTTAGAGTTCGTTGTGTAAAATTGATCCACATAACTGTTCTTCTGACTACATCTATGGGGAGTTTGTATTTATCATTCCAATTTATTCTGGCATGACAAGGCGCTAGAAAGTGGTTTGTGCTTATGAATGACATTCTTGGAATCTTTATTTATGAACTTAAATTCAATTGAGTTTAAAACTAGATTCTAAGCGGTTGATGTATATCATAAAGTATTTTCTATGAGCATGTTAAATTCAACCATTTGTCGTGATATATTTTATGAAAATTATGTCATATGACTTTGCGTAGATATCTAAAGCTATCAAATTTGTATTATATTTTTTGAGCGTAGGAACACTGATTGCATACGTAAATGTATGCACTATTCACATCCATTACTTGCTGTTGGAATAAAAACAAAAAATGGGCTGCTAATACCTTTCCACCAACAATTACCCAAAATCATGTTCGGTAGAGCTTAAATTTTAATTTAAGCGGGTGAAACATACTTTTTATCCACACTACAAAATATGATCCACAACTTAATATCCATTTATTATCCAAACATTCTGTAGGATCCACAACTTATGTACACTATCAAGTATCAAACATGCACCAGATGGAGAAAGTGGGGTAAAGAATTAAGCTGTGATAGCATGGGACTAGACTCCCAGCAGAAAGATAAAATCCTGTCTTTGCTTCCAGTATCTGGTTAATCGGTGCCACACCTGCATTCGTCTCCCATTTCTTCCATATCCACTCCCTTTCTTGAGTACTTCACTGACGCAGTTGCACTTGCGTCATTCACTTGTCTTTAAATTTTCATCAGTTCAGTGTTTGTATTTGTTCTTACAATTTCACCGGGCCTGGATTTTTATCAGTTTGCATTTGTTTGCTAGCTGCCTATGTGAATTTGTATTCTAACTCTCAGGTACACTCACTTATTTCCAAATTAACTGAAGAAAAAGCCGCTGCAATTCAACAGGGTAGCAAACTTCGTCAAGAATTGGTGAGTAATACACATTTTTGAAATCTCTTGCATAATCCAAAGTTAAATTTCTCGCCGATGCACTTTCCTATGTATGATTTCCTTTCTCATCACCAAAAATATGAACCTAAAACCACTCCAAGAGCTTCTTTATTTTTTCGAAGAGAGCATGTTTAATTTTAAAGAGTAAAATATTCTATACATTCCAATATACTCTTTATTTTTTAGCTCTTCATTTTAGTTTTTCCAATAGCCATTTATTACTTTCCCCTCATTATTTAATTAACTTATATTTTATTCAGATGTCAATGCCTAAAATATTCATGCATGACTTGAATAATCACAACAATGGTTCATTAAAAAAGACAAATATAGAGTGAGTTTGATTCTCCTAATAGATAGCGTTTTACATTTATAAAGTATCTTGAAAATGCTATAATAGCTATTACATAAACTAAATAGGAGTTCACAAAAATTGAAATAGCCAAAATATATTATAGATTTTTTTACTTAATTTTATTATTATTATTATTATTATTATTATTTTATTTTATCCCCCCCCCCCCCCCCCACCCCCACTCTATTGAGATATTCTTCAATAATTTGATAAATCATTTAGTCATTTTTTGTTATTCAATATGCTCTCTATGGTTCCATGCCTTCATCCTGTTTGTTTCCTTTTTCGTTGAATTGAGATATTCTTCAATAATTTGATGAATCATTTAGCCCTTTTTTGTTATTCAATATGCTCTCTCTGGTTCCGTATGATTTATTACCATTCCTCTATTCTATCATCGATGCTAAAGCTGAAAAGCTATAAATTTTTTAATGAGTTGCTTTTTTAATTTGTTATCTTTGTCTCTGGTAATTGCGTATTTCTGCGTAGTTACTCTTGAGGCATGATGGCAACAACAATGGAGGTGGGGTCTCCATCATGTTCGTCATCATCATTGGCTTGCTGGGCGCGGTTATGGGGTACCTTATGAAAAGGACATAATCATTCATCTGAATATTTTGGCTTTACGGTTTTCATACTATTTTGTCTCTCACCGATTGAAATATAGGGATGGAAATTGTCACGAAGGCGACAATTTTGTATTAGCTAACTTTGTAAGAAATTTTATGTTTAGGTGGTTTAAACATGCTGTTTGTTCGACGATTCCCGTGATCTTATGGTGCATTCTTTTGTAAGCTCAATAAATTTTTTTATTTCTTTCATACTGTCTTCGGGTCTTTAAAATATAATGATAATTTTTCGAAGCATTGACATGCATTTTTATCATTCTTGGCTTGAATCTAGTACATGTCTCGTACTCGACCTTGATTGAACACGAGGTTTGACAGGTGAAGACCTTTTTTATTTATTTATTTTTTATTTGTGAGTTTTTAGCTTTTCTCAACTAAGATCGTGCGAGGAGGATATTTGTTATTTACCATTAGTTGAGTTCTTTTTGTTTAATTATTAATGTTGCTAGACTAGAATCGAGTAACAAATAAATTAAGCCTATGTGTGAAAAGAATTTATAATAAATAGAAATAAAGTGTTGAATAAGTGTCGAGATAGCTAGGGACAACACAAATCGGTTTAAATATTTGCACAGTGTTGTGAAAAATGAAGATAAACAAGAATGATAAAAAAGAAAAAGAAAAAGAGCGCAAATCCTACACCACCTGACACAATCTTGACGATTTGCGGCCGGAATTTGCACAGTTGAGGGGTTAAATTGTCCTCAACGTTTACAAATGAAATTTTTTCCAGTTTTACTTAGTGGACGGATTCCTTTAACATGAAGCAGGCTCGATTTATTAGTGTACAAGATCTCATTATTATTAGATGCGGATGTCATGAACATGACGTTTCTAGTGTCAATATCAAACATGAATATCTGATAATCATGATACATCCAAACTCGATTTTCTGTCACCCAATAAGGAGTTATATTTTCACTCGACATGCTTGGATAATCTTTCAGGAATGTCAAGGGTATGCTGATTTTGCTATCAGCTTGTAATTTTCCAAAACCTAAATACTCAAATGCTTTTGTTCCACGCCGGCAAGAGATAGCTTCCCTTCGAAGTCCACCAACCAGACATTTCTCCATTCTGAGAAGAAATCTTGTGGTACCTTAATAGTGTTTGTAATACGATCATTCTCCAAATCAGGACAATCTATAACGTAATCACCCATTAATCTGAGCTTGATGCCTTATAGAGTACCGTCCCTATGACTTTGGTGGCTGGCCAACCAATTCTATGATGACACGAGGAAGGGGAATCTAATCGTTTCCTTTTAAAACAAGTATCAACCCTAAAAAGGGTGTAAACTAGTACTTTTCTATTTTCTTCGTCCTTGGAGTAATGAATATAAACCACCTTTAATTCATTAGTTGTCCGGATGTAACACATGTTTGTATAAATACCTGATTGGTCACAAGGAATAGGCAAATCAAGAATTTGTTTGGTAGCCGGATTCCTCAATCGGTAGGCTTTGGTTGAATTCTCTCTCTCCTTGCCGATATCTGACGAAAGTAAATTCTGTATCATTGCTACTTCGGTATTCGACAGTACACGGAGCCCGGTGCATATGCATGTCGATGAACTTAGGATTTTCAATTATGGAAAACCAGGTTTTGCAGACGCATTTGAATCTTAACAGGGATTTAACTGGTAACCGACTCAGGATCTCAATGATTATTTCTTCGGGGAGAAACAAGTCTGTCATCACCATCTTCTCTGCTGTTCCAATTCGAAAATCAAAATCTAAATTCGAAAAACAGAGAAAGAATTAACAATTTGTTCGTATTAGATATTGACATCAAGTTCAAACGATTAACAATTCTTTCCGTCGGTCTTGTTTGTGCATTGACGGATCCAGCTTTCGACATGAACACGGGCTAATACAGGGAAAAAAAAATTTACACAAAAAAATTTTTTTACTAGTTTTTTTAAATGGGATTAGGGGCGGACGGACAAGCTGTAGCACTAGCCTGCCCGTCCCTGAATCCGCACTTGTGTTCGTGTGAATACATAAAGATGGATAAAAATAATAAAAAAGGAACATGGAGTTGAAGAACGTACCTCGGAAGAAATTCGTTGCCTTCTAAATAAAAAAATAAGTAACCATTGAAGCAATGTGTTTACCCTTTCTAGTTAATAACTCGACATATATATATAAATCCTGTAAGAAAGAATAAAGAATTAAAATCACAAATCTATTAGGATCTAGCAATAATGTTGAGACAAGATTCTATGTTCAAAGGGGACTCTATCAGAAGGGAAGTAACACAATTATAAATAAATAGATAAAACAGTAAAACTTATATCTTAAAAAGGTTATAAATACAATCTTTTTTGGAAAAATTTCATAAGTAAGAGATTAAGTATGACATATTTCAAAATTAAGAAAATAAGTTTCAAACTTCAAAATCAGATTTTTATTAAAATTTATTTATGATTTAATTGATTAATTAATTATTTTACTAATTAAATATATTTAAGTCACAGATCTGTACAATTTGATCACAAATTAACGATTTAATTAGCCACTTATTATTTTTTGGGCACAAATAAAATTTTTTATGTCAAAATATTTTACGATCACGATTCAAAAATTTTGTAGGTCACAGTTTGTTCATCGGTCACAAATAAAAAAAATTAATTAGTCACGGATTAATTTTTAGTCACAACTTATCAATTTATTGGTCACAACTTATTTTTCAATCATAAATAAAAAATTTCATAGGTCACATATTATTTTTGGGTCATGAATAAATTTTTTTACAGGTCACAGATTATTCATTGGTCGCAGATCAATTTTTATTGGTCACGACTCATTTATTCATTACAAATTATCAAATTGATTGGTCACGGTTAATTTCATCGGTCACAAATCAAGTCATAGTTTATTTATACGTTACAGATTTTCAAATTAATTGGTAACCAATTATTTTCAATCACAAATTATCGAATATTTAGGTCACAATTAATTAGTTGGTCACGAATAATCAAATGGTTGGTCACAGACTGCTACCATCACTGTCGTCGCCAGAACCACCACCACCTCAAACAAATCAACCCACTGCAAAAAACACCACCACATTGCCAACCACGACCACGACATAACACACAAACGCAAAAATCAACCAAAATAATGTCATCACACAACCAGACTTGGACTTCGCAACAACCGTAACGTAACACCACTACTACCACCAACTCACCGAATCGTGACCAGATTGCTGTAGCACCTAAAACCTGACACAGCACACATGACCACCACTGTCGCCACTACACAAAATCACTTTAAACCACCATAAAACACCACCAACAGCGGAAACCACCTGCAACCATCACCACGCCACCAGCTGCAGCAAGATCTAATCTGCATCCATCGCCATTGCCACCAATACCAAATTTTCTCTCATGAACAACAACGATGTCTCCAAAACCACAATTGTAACACAGCCACCACCATTATCATACACCGCAACCCATATCTCCACCACACCACCTCTGCCAAATCATCTTCAATTTGAAAAATTAAAAAATTAAAAACACTCGATCCTGACAAATAGATCTGTATCTACTGCCGTCGTCACCACGGCCGCCTCCAATAGATAGATCGAGTTGCCAGTACAGGCTACTTCTTGTGGTGGCGACGTTGTCGACAAATAGAGCAGCCTCACGTTTCGATTGGGAGAGAGAGAGAGAGATCTAGGTTCTGGAGGTGAGAATAGAGAGAATGAATTGATGGTGAAATATTGTAGGGTTTGAATTGTGTAGGGAAATTAATTAATTCATTTTTAAATATATTAAGTTATAAAAAGAAATCTGATTTTTGAAAGAGTAAACTTTGCCTATGATTTATGAAATAGAATATTTAAATGTATTAGATTGTGTAATTTTCACATCTTTTTTTACCAATAAACAAATTACAAGTATGTCAAATACTTAAAATTAGGTACGAGCAATAAAATTAATATCTAAAGAAAAACTATAAATTAATATTGAATATTATCAAACAATTTTAGAGGTATGAGATTCGAAATTTTTAGAAAAAAACCAGTTTTTATAAATTTTTATTAAATTGTGCCTAAATACTCAACAGATCATGACTTCAAAATACTAGTTTTAGACTCTATAGACAACTAATTTATGAGTAGTAAACGAAGGGAATGCGAAGTACGGAGGTTCCACGAAAGATACTTAAAAATCTTGACTGGTACACATTGCACTTAATTTTATTCTTCATTCACAAGATGTCATGATTGATCTTCCTCCGATGTTTGTATTTTATTTTTATTTCGCTATTAATAAACACTCATTTTTGCAGCGGCTTTAATGAAAAGTGACTCATCGATTATTTTCAAAATTGTAACGCTAAAATCAATCATCAATTGAAACTTACAATGGAAGAATTAGTAAATAAAGCACTTCCGAGACTGGTATGAAATCATCTAAACTCAGGGCTAAAATTGAGCAAGAAGCATCTTCCTCGATGAATTTATATGAAGAGGCTTGCAGCAATTTGAAACAAGCAAGTGGTGAATCTATCTCATTAAATTGTTCGAGAAAAAAAGTGTGACTGAAAAATCGTACACACTAATGGTAATGTACATTTAAATTCATAACTATTCAAACACTAGTTTGGTTGTCTACAGTGGACAACAAGAACGTTATACAGTTAGGTATATGGTTATGAAAAGCACAAAAAGATTATTGCTAAGTGATCATACTTTCTGTTTTATTGTCTTTTCATTAAGTAAATTTAGTTTACTGGTTCTGTATTTTTTGGGTTACAAATTGCTTTCTTAAATCAAATTTACACAGTCAAGCGGTTCTTATTATCTGATTGATAATACCAGCCATAATATTTCAATTTTATGTGAATTGATTTTTTCAGAATCAATTAGCCACGCAATTTCACTGCCATTAAATAATTAATCAAATTGAATAAACATCCAATATTGATCCGCCAATTAAATAAAATTGACAGTCTTGATAGATAAGACTTAAGCTTGTCATGTATTAAGTGTTTGTACACGATTTTATAGTGTACTAAAATGCATCTAATTAATAGACAGATTATATGATTTCATAGTTTCATGGAAGAAATAATTTTAGATTGAAACTAAAAGAAAAGAAACAAGAATAAAACAGCTCAACTTGACAGAATTCAGACTCAAATATAACAATTAACTAACTATTTTTCTGAACATTTTACCTTTTGAGTTTCTGGATGCATTCCTTTGATATATGTCAAGCTAGGTTTATCAATGTACAAGATCTTCTTTTTTGTAGTCGGGGATGTTTGGAAGTCAACCTCTCTAGATTCAATGTCAAAAACAAATATGTCTTGAGAATCGTCTGTGACATGATACCACCATATTTGATTTTCTTTCACTGTCCAAGGAATAATGTTTTGACTCGACATGCTTGGATAATCCTTTAAGAAAGTCAAGGATATGGTAATCTTGGTTTCAGCCCATTTATTCTTCTTGTCATCTTCCAAGATCCATAAATTCAACTGCTGTTTTTGATCTATGCAAGCAAGCGCTAACTTCCCGTCTTTCCAGTTAAGAGCATGCACATTTTTCCAGTCCAGAAATAATTTCCGAGGAATCTTAATATCTCTAGTAATTCGATCGTTTTCCAAATCAAGGCAATCAAAATAAGAATCACCCACTAATCCCAACTTGAAGAGATAGAATTTTGTCTCTGCATGTAATTTTCTTACTTGAAACTTTGTCGGATCACACGAGGTGGAATCAACATATTTCCATGTAAGATCATTAATACTGAGAATATTGTAACGTTTCGTATGTATATCTCCTTCTTCCTGCAAACAACTTATATTAAGCAATTTCAAATCGCTGGTTTTCGGAATGAAAAAAATGTTTATGTAGATAATATTTTGATGAGAAGGAGGACAAGGCAAATCAAGTATTTGTCTAGTTGCTGGATTCCTTAATCTGTATGCATTGGTCGAGTTGTTTCTTTCCAGCACCAGTCCTTGCCAGTATGTTGAGAAAGTAAAATTTGCACAAGAATTTTCATTATATGTGCTTTGATATACCCAAGAACAAGGAGCTCGAACCATATGGATAGTAATGAACTCAGGATCTTGAATTATGTTAAACCACGTTTTGCATACGCATTTAAATCTTAATAATGATTTAACTGGTAGCCAGCTGAGGATCTCACAGATTATGTGATTTGGTAAAAAAAGGCCACGCATCATCCGCATTGAATTTCAGCTTCTCTCAACCCTAAAACCGAAGAGATAAGACTACAGTTATTAACGTAAGACAAGTTGTTAAGAACCAATCATATAATAAAAAAAAAAAAAAAAAAAAAAAAAAAAAAAAAAAAAAAAAAAGGGACAACAATGAGATGATCGAGAAAGAAGAAGGGAGTCTTGGAAACTCTATAATATAAATATTCATCATAGATTTATATTTGCATGAAAACATAAATCAAATTCACAAATATTTCACAAAATCCCATGAGATATAAATAATAATATTCACTAAAAGATCGGTGTGGTATTCCATTAATGTTGCTGCAGCATACCCGCAATTCTATAATACAATATTCTTTGCCTTTGGTGGTTGCCAATATATAGATATACGCAAGTATATAAAGATAAATAAATTTCAGTTGAAGAACGTACTTACATATCAGTGAGAAGATTTATACTTACCGGTCATCAAAAGTTTTTGCTGTAATCAGAAAACAAAGTATAGACGAAATTTTACGAGAACAAATAGGATAGAAGATGGAGAAGAGTTTAAAAAATATATGGCACGAATTTTAAAATATCAATTGGTATTATTCTTGTAAATACTTACCTAAGTGGAGTGGTTTCTCGACTTGGTTGTCAATTTTCATGTTAACTATTATGCTATTAAAATTTGCATCCATCACTACAATTTTGAGAAATAAGAATTTTAGTGAAATACAAACAATTTTAGTTTTCCTTTACATGATCAGCTATTTCCACCACAAACAATTTACGGATAGATTAATGTTTTTACTTATTTATCTGTAAGACTATTTAATGCATTTTTTTTTTTTATAATTTCAATAGGCAATTAATCATTAGCTTCTTTTCCTTTTCTCTATATATCGTTTATTGACTAACATTCTCCACCCTGTTATCAGTGCAAGAACCATGAGGGATTATTGGTTGATAATATAAATCTAGACCATTAAATTATAGTAAATTAAGGATAATAATTATTTGTTAAATTTTCATTTTAATACTATTTAAAAAAAAAATTAAAATATCCCTTTCCAACTACAAATGATTAACTAATATCGCCCACGACAATTTGAATGGTGAATTATGTTGACCTCAAAAAATGTTGCCAATAGATGCCGGATCCACCCACGCACACGTGAGCGAAGGTCCTACACGCTTAAGACACGTGGACGATCTAGAACGAACGGATTAGGGGCGTGGGAGTAGCTCAACGATGCAGGATGAGAACGTTCGGAATCTGCGGGATGTTCGTAATCCGATTGTACAATAATTACCTATCGGTGCTCATGAATGTGCATGTAAATATGTATGAATTCGTATTGTGTTATAAGGCAATATGAAAGAGAGAGTAAAATGTAATTTCTTGTATTGATTCTTACATTCGTCCTTCAATGTTATACAAGGGAAGTATTTATAGTGTTACATGTGAAATGGCAGCCTTTAGATGAGGTAGCACGTGACCTTATCTCTTTAATTCAAACATCCAATCCTAAGCATCATCCTTGGCTTGCTAGCTTACTGCGCATTTATTGCTTATGCAGAACCCCTATACTAATGACAAGACTTGACATGTATACTTATGACAAACGTTTCATCACTTATTCTAAAAAGATCTTTACGTAGAAAATCTCTTGGGAGAAGTGATCATGGAAGACGTTCCTTCATGGTTCGGGGACTTCTGCTTCAGCTTCGGATTCGGGGCTTTTGCCACTCATGTAGTACTTCTGCTTTGGGGTTTCGACTATCTTCACAGGCCTCAGCATGAAGGGCCTTGGATATACAAACCACTTCGGATGGAGTGCCACGTGGTTCAGATTGAGTGGGCCACAGGCCCACGTAGGTTGGCCAAGTATGACAACACCTAACAAATTATATTATAAAATCTTTCAAAGCCAATGAAATAATATAAACTTAAATTTCAAAAAATTACTTCCACGAAGCCATTCAAAAATTTAATTGATTCTCTATATAATATTTAAAGATTTCGTTTAGAAACTAAAAATTTTAGGGAATTTAAAATGAATAAAGCAGACGTTACTTACATCTCCATTCATGAAATCTTTCACTTACAATTATGCCCTTGTTTGGTTTAAATAAAAATTACGTTTTTAATAGATTTTGATAAAAGTTGATGAAATATGTGATTGAAAAATTGATAAAAGTTACGGATCCAATGAATTGTTAGATTTAAATTGAGTTTTAAAAAAAAAGTTTTAAATAATGAGGCCAAATAGAGGGTTTATGAGAGAAGCAATTAGCTGTGAACGTTTACAAACATTAATAAGAATATTATATAGTTTTTATAATAATAATAATAATAATAATAATAATAATAATAATAATAATAATAGTAGTAGTAGTAGTAGTAGTATAAATAGCACATATAACTATAAAATCTTTAATATATTATATAAGATAGTTTACATTCGTATGAAGGTAATTCAAAAAAAAAAAAAAAAAAAAAAAAAAAAAAGGAAAAACATGCATAGACGAGCCGAGTTTGGAGGCAGGCGAGTCGGGTGGCTTGATTTATTTGATTTAACACCCGTAAATGGAAGGAGAGGTGAGAGAAAATAAAAAAAAAAAAAAAAAAAAAAAAAGTAAAGAGGTAAAATAGCTTAAAAAATGAAACAAAGTCAATATATTCAGACACTCACAAAAAAGGGTAAATAGCACAAAATGTCCCTACATTTCAATGTTATTATGCAAAACGTTCCTATCTTTAATTTTTTAACATTTTTACCCCTATTTCCACATTTCATTGCACAAAAGGTCATTTTTATCCATTTTTTCAATAAAAAGATAAATTTACCCTTTATTCAAATAAAACAAAAATAAAAGAGTTAATAGCAACTATAACCCCTAATTTTTGAAAAATTACAAACTAGACACAAATATATACTTAAAAATCAAACATAAAAAAATAATTAGAACTCAAGATACATTACCTGTGTTCCTCTTCACTCCTTGGTATTCAGATTCCACTGACACCGTCGTATTCTGTATATAACAGCAGCGCAATTAACTCATCTTCAATTAATGCCAAATCTCGCAAGGACCGAGTTGTAGTTATAATAGACCTTAAAGTGTAGAGGTGCAGATTGCGGCGATTGTGCTCCAAAGTTTGGTACTTAACTGAGTTGGGCGATCTAGGTAGACAAGGAAGATGGTGGCGGCAGGCAGATTTGCGGACTTGTCGTGGTGACAGGTGGTTGGGTGGGGTGGTTATGTAAGGTTATGAAGCAACGTCGTGTGGTGGCTAATGGTTTTGAGAGGTGTCGGGCGACGAGGATTGGTGGTGGTGAGCAGCGGAGTTGGCGACGGGGAACGCTTGGTGTGGGTTGGCTGGATAAGTGGTGTTTGCAGTGGCGATCATAGTCGATATGGCAAGAGACTGGGAGGAGGCAGCATTGTTTGAGGCTAGTGGTATGGTCTAGGCAGGTGGTAGAAGTGGTGTATGAGTAATTGCAGTGGTTGTCGCTGCAGAAGGGTTGAGAAAGGGAAAAGATGTCAATGCCACAAGATGTGGCCGGTGAGAGTGAGTTTAGGGAGCATTTTTCGGCGATTTAGTCGGCGGTGGGTGGTGGTTTGAGTATGGATTGCCGGTGGCTCCATTAAAGAGGAAGGGTGGTGTTTTTTTTTTTTTTTTTTTCCTTCTTCTTCTTCCTTTTTTTTTCCTTTTATTTTTTACTTTTGATTTTTAAATATATATTTGTGACTAATTTGTAAATTTTTTGAAAATTTGGGGTTATTGTTGCAATTAATTCTTTACATTTTCTTTTCTGTTCTTTCTGTTTTATTTGAATAAGGGGTAAAATCATATTTTTATTGGAAAAATGGATAAAAATGACCTTTTACACAATGAAATATGTGTAAAAATATCAAAAAATGAAAGGTATAGACGTCTTGCACAAATCACAGTAACATTGAAAGGTAAGAACATGTTTTGCTATTTAACTTACAAAATATTTTTGAATTGACCAGTTAAGTCGTGGAACATACTATGATACCATGCATGTACTAAGAATCATTTATCGACTCCATCTTAGCACTCTTTCGAGCTTTCCTCAAGAGGCTAAAATTTAGAATCACTAATCAATTTCTCATTCCTCTTCAACATCTAGGAGTTGTAAATTACATCAAAATCTAACGTCTGTCACTGCTCCACCTATCTACGCTTGCATCAATCATAAGTATTTAGCCACTAAACCATCTCTCTTCTCATCTCTAAAGTCTCAACATACTATTAATGTTATATCATTTTAAACTTATTTTAATCCCACAATAAAAAATATCTGACTCCATCACTTAGTAATGTATTAGCATAATTTGAAGAAGACTATATTAGATATGTTAGGCCGTAACATAACTGATTATGACCCATTCTAACATTTTAACAAGTAATAAAAAAATTTAGACTGCGATATAAAGCAGTTGGGGGTAATTTCAACCTCAATATAAAGCGTGCCATTTATATTTCTGATGAAATTAATCATAACATTTTATGACACCAAGTGGAAGTAATGGGGTCTTAACCTTTATTCATAGTTATTGTTTTATACTATATTCAATGTGATGTAATTATTCGTCATTACGTGATATTGATTGCTTGATACATCACGGTATGGATTGCCTGATACCATATAGCACGTCAATTTTGACCTCAGGTGTGATGAGACACAATATTATATTTTTCGCCTCATTGTGAACTTGTATTTGTGTTATTCATGGGAGATTTTTCTATTTGACCTAATTTTATATCCTTTTAATTTATCCATAGAAAAGTCTATATTACCCTTAATGAAATAATTCTTCTTATATTGCACAATATATCCCAATCTTTTTGAACTATATTCTATTTTTGAATTTTTGAATATAAATCCATTCTATGATCTAATAAATTAGAATAATTTACGACATATTGTTCATATTTTTTATTTAATATATTATATTCTTCAGATGATAAATTTATATTTTTTAATTGAGAAATGATATTATTTTATTTCTTTTAACATTTATTCTAATAGATTATCTTATCCTTCAATTGTATATCCTGGCATTTAAACATACGAATAATCCCTACGATTCTCTAATATCTTAAAAAGATTCGTTCAAATTTTAGAAAAAAAATAATAGTTTTACCTTAGTTCTGATCTGAATCTTTATTCTTAGAACCGAGTGATCTTCGAACTCTGAATATGTAAATTGCTTCCTTCAACGACCTCTTGTATTCATGGACTTTTTACTATTTTAGCTTTTTGCTCTCACTGTATTAATTCCAAAGAATAAATCTCTAGATTTTGATAAAAGAAAAACTCTCTTTTTGTTAAAATAAGAAAGAAACTTTCTATTAAATCCTTCAAGAATATATGTGATAAAGATTTAGAAACTTACATTGATCTCAAAATATTGGAGTTTTATTTTTATAGAGATTTATACAAGATTTTCATTTGATACAAAATGATTTCTGAAAAAACTGGTTTTTC